TTATATTATACCGATCGCATAGGGACCGACACCGAAAAGTGAGTAAACAGTGTATAATTTAAAATAAAATAAAATATAAAATCACATTTTAATAACTTAAGTCTAGGTTATCACATTTTTGCATCGATATAATATTATATAATAATATATTACTTATAGTATATTACCATATTATTATATTGTATTATGCATTAATGAAAAAACATGTACGTAGGTATAATATAATAATAATATATAATATTATTACGGTCTAAAAACGAGGAATGGCAATCATCGTAACGTGATGGATCAAAAGTTAAATCAATTTTTTTTGATTTTTCTCTTCGAATGGCATTGAGATTAAAATATATACTATATACAGAAATACATAATAATATGTATATATATATATACATACATACATATACATACATCGTACAGCTCGACAATGATAATAACTGTTTGATAATAATAATAATATTACTACACAATATCGATGAGACAAAATGCTGTTGCGTCATCGGTTTGTATTATAAATAACAATATTATTATTCTTCGCGTCCGGTCGGTCAGATGATTCGGTCGTCGTCGTCGTCTTCGTCTTCGAACTCCGATCCGGTGCAACTGCTTCTGAGCGACCTTACCTCGTGAACCACGTCCAGACGACTGCACAGGTCGTCGTTGAGCCGGGCCGCGGCCGCGCCGTCCCCGTCCAACATCGAGTTGTAGTACGTGTTCATCTCCTTGCCGGCCACAGCGGCCGCGGGTATCGGCATGCGTATCGTTGGCGTCGAGTCCCTCGCGGTCAGCGTCTGGCTCTCGCGCCGCCACGCCGACGAGTTACGGTACCTCAGCTCGTCGTCGATGGGTATGAACAGGGACGCGAGTACGGTGAGCGCAATGAACGCCACGCCGCCGACCAGCAACGCGTACTTGAGCGCCACGAGCACTACCGGCCCGACCCGAAGATACACGAAGAACTTGTTCAGCATGTGATCCGGYAGCTTTTCGAATCCCTGAAACGTCAAACAAAGTATATTRTTTTAGAAATATATATAWTTTTTTTCCAAAGGATTTCTTTTTATAATTATTCACAACTTGGATATTTTTTGTTCTTTGTTTTTAGACGTATCACTACAATATTTCACATTAGGTA